GATTTGTAGATTGTACACACAAAAAAACTCTGTATTTTCACATTTTTGCCAATTTCCCATTCATTTCCTATGCGGGTCCATTTGGACCCGAAGGTCCTGAGTGTGACTATTTTATTTACAACCACTTAGACTATTCAAATCCTGTCCCCAATTTTTTTGGGTGTTCATATACCAAGTACCAACAAAGTCACCAAATTTCTGACCATTCCGATAAAGCTATGATTTTTAAATAAAAAATATTTAAATGCTTCGGGTCCATTTGGGCCGAAGGACCCCAGAGGGTTAAAGCCTAAATTTGGTTCCAATATGACACCTAAATATTTTACCTGTTCTTGATTTAAAATGATTTGTCCTTCAATTAAAATATTAGGGTAGATTTGTATTTTAGAACGCTTTGCCATGTGCTTTGTAAATGCCAAAATTGTTATCTTTATTTACTAATGTACATGTATTAATTTCTTTTTTCTGTTGTACAAAAGCAATGCCTTCCGAAATACTTGGGACTTGGGAAAATGGACTGCTGAGTACCCAGAACAGTGGAGGCTGGCTGACTCTAACAACTGTGGGGTTTTGGTTTGTACAGTAAGTTAAACAAATGCTTTTATTTATTTATTTTATTTTTATCTACATTACTTTAACAACTGTGTTTATTGCATTAGATGGCAGAAATGGAGGTGAGGGACAAATGGACCTCTATGAAAAACGAGGTGATACAGGGAGACGATCTGTGGCATCTGAGAAGATATCACGCATCATCAATGGCAGCATATGCTGTTCAGTATATGACGTATAAAAGGTATGTGTAAAATGTGTGTCCTCATTCAAATAAATCAACATAAAAGTGTAATAGATCAAGTAGATCGATGATTTTTAAAATATAGGACAGTCGAGGAGGTGGAAAAAAAGGGAATTTGTTCTCTTGTCAGTGATACTGAAATTCAGGTACATATAAGACTTTACAAAACTTAAAATGGCTAGATATTGTTTGCTATATTAAATATTTGGCAAAACGAAGACTGGGAAAATGTCACAACCAAAGAGCTTTCATCCAGCCTTGTCAGCACATGTTGAGGAACTTCTAGGACACATTGACAACATTGTGTTTAAGCAAAAGATGGGAAAAAAGCTTGATCATATCGACCTTGTAATGTGTGAACTGATTCCTGAGGTACGCAATTTAAGGTATCATTTTGGTACAAATATATACTATATAGTATATATTTTAATTAAGAAATTTAATCTTCTGTTGTTCAGATCAGCCTTATAATACTGAGACGAATGGAAGGTTTCAGTCAATTTTGGGCTGAGATATCTTATCTTGTGGAGTGTGTCATTAAAATGGCCTTGTAATGTCACAACATCCTAACAGTGAGTGATGTTACACAGCACAACAGACTTTGCGTGTACAAATGCACGTGTTACAGGATGTTTGTGTGTTTTTGCAGAGTTCCCAAGCCAGTCCACCCATGACACCCAGGTTCAACGAGCCAACTACGTTCTGCTGCGTTGCACCTTTGGGCTTGCATATCCAAGTAAAAAAAGTGAGTGATGTTCCATAGCACTAAAGACTGTGCAAATGTATAGTTGCACATGACGTGTTGCAGCATTTTTTGTGTTTTTTTTGCAGAGTTCCCTCAAGCCAGTCCATCCATGACACCCCAGGTTCAACGAGCTAACTACGTTCTGCTGCGTTGCACCTTTGGGCTTGCAGATCCAAGTAAAAACATTGACACCAGTTTTTAACGTGGTTTTTTGCAGAGTTCCCTCAAGCCAGTCCATGACACCTCCTCGCCTACCAGGTCATGATCCCACCATCTAAAGGGGAAATTGACTGACTGCATCATCTAGGCCTTAGGATGGTTCCACAAAGTGAATTTACTTCAAACTAAAGATTTGACTTTTCATACAGCAAAAGACACTGCATCTATTTGTGTCTCATTAGTTCTCAAACTTTAACCTTACAGTTCATTAAATATTTAAACACAGCTAACTCGACATTAATTGTTTTTAAATCTTCACAATGTATAGCCAGAGAACTATCACAAAAGTATTTAGGAAAGTAAAGGCATACAAAAGTATTTCTGTTTAAAGCTGCTTTGTATTGTTGTGTATTTTTAAAAGCTCTATAAATGTCCTAAAACAATGTGCTTTTTGCTTGTAGTTTTGTGTTAATAAAAATGTAATATATTACATCTCATAATTCAGTTGAATTCATTATGTATTGTGAAATGTAATTAAAATTGTATACAAGTTTTGGTTCACTAATTTTATTACATTAAATGTTATTGTGTTGTATGATGTTCTGTATTAAGATAAAATTATGCCATAAATCATAATGCATTAGTACACAAATGACATGCTTGTAATAAAAAAAGCATACTATGCCCTATTGCTTAATAACAAATAATTTTGTCACAAAACACACTTAAAAATGATATTTCTTTAAAATAAAAGATTATTATATGAATTAAGGGGTTTGATTACATTAAGATTTGTGATTCCATAATGTTATTATACTGTTCTTTAGTCAAGGCTTGACAACCAATTAAATATTTATACCCACAAAACATAGCTAGCATTCTGTAATTTATTTACATGTCTAAACTGTTAATAAGAAAATAGTAATATACACAAATAAACATTATGTTATGGCTCTTTTAATAAATAAAAGTGTACCTGTAACATATTGTGCCGATTATTGCGATAAAAAATAATGACATAATTATAATTGCACTACTAACTGCTGTGAATACGGTAAGGCAGTATCAGTGCAGTATAAGCTCAGGTAAAGCTCATAGCACGATCATCGGATAACGTTAGCTGTATGCTATGCGACTATTCTAAGCTAACTAAACAACACACTAACAACGAAAAATGTTTAATTTCGCAATCTATAGCTTCGGTTAATTACTAGTATATGAAACGTATAATTTAAAATACATTAAATACATTAATGACTCGTTATACCGTAGTACAAACGTCTTCTATAATAAGGTGATTTTGAATGATTTGTTACCAGGCACCAAAGCGATTACCTATAAAACGTGCTTTGAACCAATCGGATTGCTTGGGTCCTACGCCCGGACTATTCACACCGAGTGACCGGATTATTCACCACACCGGCCCAAAGTTGCAAGTGTGATTTTGCGGCTCACAGGCACCAGGGGGGTGCGAGACGACCACCATTCAACACGAAATCAGTAATATAAACATTACAATGACTCCAAAGCTGTTCGGTTAAGGTAAAAAAGTTACTTAGTTCACCTTTAAAGTCAGGGTAGGTAAGTTTGAGAAACTAGCAGAAAACTGCTGGATTTTGAAAGTATCCAACAGAGAAACTCCCTTCTGGGTTCCTTCCAAAGCCACGCCCCCAAAACACATGAACGCGTGATGCCGACCGCTCAGCTGGAGGACGCGTTTACCACCGCCGAGCGGGGAGGAGCGCAGTGCATGGAGTGACACATCACCTTTTTTTGCCTTGTTTGCCTGCGCTGACTGTATATGCAGGTACAGGTGGTACTGGGAATTTTGACTGCTCTTTCTCTGCCATAATTGTGAGACTTCCTAGCTTCCGGCCGGTATGCGCCTCTCCTCTTTCGAAATGAGCGAGTCAACGGGGTGCGCGCATGTGGGCAGCTCCTGTAGCAGCAGGGGTGGTAGCCATGGTAGCAAGGGAGAGTGACAGTCGCCCAGCCAATCATTGCATTCGTTCCGAATTGAATGACTAGCTGTGTTTATTGCAGCCCTCAGAGGACTACAGACACTCGATTTTTATACTCTCCTTTTCAGAGTACTTACATTTTAGATACGTATTGGTATATAAAGACAGTTTAAACAAATTTGGGAAAAAGTGTTTTAGAAACAAACTGCCTACCCTGTCTTTAAATGTCGCTCGCAGGTGGATTTCCTTCAGTCTCTACCACAAAACTTACTGACGCGCGCTTTCAAATATGGCTCTGCTCTCGCTCAGATTTTACACGTGCTCTTTCTCTAAAATTGTCCAGAAACCTGCCATTTTCACAACAAGGATAATTTACTAAGCACGTCCAGAACCTACACACGCAGTCTTTGCAAGGGACTTGCCTCGTGTGACCAGTAGTATAGCACGGAGTCTTTTTCCCCATGTCTTTTCTATTCTCATTAACTCTTTTTCAGACCATGGTGATCCAGGACCTGTCTGTCTATCTATAGTTCTATCTATCTGTACTTATTGAATTATTTCAGTTTAATTAAGTTTATAATAATTTGTCATTTGTGCCAAACTGCGAACAGCGATGCTAACAGCGATGCTAACAGAAGCTTTAAAAAAAATACTTGATGCACTAGGAAAACATCCAAAAGGAAGTTTTATCCACTTGACATTTCTGAGTTAAAATAAATCCACTTGCTCTGTGATATGGTCTGTAAGGTTTTGATTCTTTGGAAAAACAATCATGACAAATTCAATGTTTTCTCAGTTTTATTTTCAAATATAAAACAGAATCGGAGACTTGCTTTCAATAAATACAGAAATTTGATCAAATGATGAATAAAAATACAAACAAGCTGCACTAGCTTTCCAAACATGAGTGCACTCATTGATGTTTGGGATAAAGAGATGTATGAAAAATGATCACAGTTCATCAGATCATACCAAAGATGGGTTCAGAACTTAAATGTAAAGTGGTATTGACAGCAGTCCTTAAACCTGAATGCGTTTTAAAAATACGGTTTTCGGTTGAACTAAAAGCATGATGTGTGTTAAATCTTTGGGATATTTAGAAAATATTAGGCACATCTTGGAGAGTCAAAGTTTTCATTCCCATTATACCTGTGAATTAGTGTCAAAAATGCAACATTTGAGTACAAAAATCTGATGTAATATCATGTGAACTGAGGAATATCCTGTGAGATGAAGAAACCTGAACAGTTTACTACCTACAAATGATGGCACACTGCAAGGCTAAAGGTACAACAATTTCCTTGGCTAACCAAACATCACATGTTGCTGTGACAGTGAGAACCAGAACTATCACTTTATGACAAACAAATCACAAGTCCAGTACAAAACAGAAAATACTGTAAACCTGTTCGCATGCGACTATACGATGAACATTTGTTTGCACAAATGGCAAAGTACTTGTGCTTGTCTTCTTGACATGATGGATTGTCGCCCCCTCCCAGGCCTGGCACAGCTGAATACACAAGAGATTTGTAATCGAGTCACGCCATCATGCTTTAGGGATGAAATCGTTCAACTGTGACGAGAACTGTACACAAGTTTGTGGCTTTGAGGAGCAGCAATCCCCAGGACCCAAAGCAACAATGGGATGAGAAAAACCAGTGCAGAGGTGTTAGGGTGTCCTTTCCAAACCAGATGGAGCTGTGGGAAAGGCTACGAGTCCTTGAGCATACTGATGTGGGCAAAGATTTTCAGTGCGGGACCAAGTTTGATGTTCATGGTGCTCATGAGATGATCCTCTTTGAGGAGCATTAAGGCCTGGCCATCGATCTCCTGAGAGCGGAACTCTTCTGCGATCTCTTGGCAGCCTGGCGCAAAAGAGAAGATTTTTGATTGACTAATTGGCGACCCAAAAAGCAACAGAATATGATGATAGCTACCTGGCAGAGAGCAGATGAATTCATAAACATCCTCGACGTTCCACTTGGCGGGGTCGCTGGCCAGGAAGTGCTGCGTGAGGAGAGGGAGATCTCTACTGTGATCGAATCTTTCCTTGTTCGGAAGCCTTTGGGTTCCATAGCTTGAGTTGGACAGTGGCGAAATAGGCTCTTCGTAACTGGACATGTCTGAGCACTGGCTGGAATCACCGTGACATGGATGAGAGGAGTGCGAGGACAACAGAGACGCTCCCATGGCTGTTCGAGCCCTTGGATTCTATGAGAAAACACAAGCGAAACAATTAAGCACATTTCTGCAAAGACAAACCTAATGGGACACTGCAAAGAGAGAGCGAGAGAGCGAGAGAGAAAGGGGCATTACCCGTTTCCTGATATCCATGCTGCTGTTTTGATGATTGGCGTTGGAGGCTTTTGGTTTCTTTGGGCTCTCCGAAGTTGATTTTCTTGGGAAAAGTCCCATTCGTTTTGTGCATCCAACATTGTACCTGAAAGAGAAGAACACCAGTAAGCCAACCACTCAAAATCAAGTGTTTACATGTGCAACAAAAGTCTTATATAAAATCTAAAATGATTTGTGGGCTTCAGAAGGATCCACATACCTCTTTGCACACACCGTAGAACAAAACCGCTTGGATCTTTTGAAGTTAAAAGCGAAGTCTAGATTCCCACAGAATTCACATGCCAGCACTGGCTCGGCGATCTGATTATTCAGCAGCTCTATAAAAAGATTTACATTATGGCTGATTGGACAACAGTCTGAGCATCAGTGATCCATCAGGTGTGTGACTAAAGGCTGGAATACACAACATGACTTTTCAAATCTGAACCGATTTTAAAACACTAGGCATCATACACTTGCCGAATTTGTAAATGGTTACAGAGAAAAACTGGACATCCTACACTAAACAACCGAGGATCACACACTACCAGACTTTCAAGTCGATCCAAACGCAACAAACTCACACAGAAACGTACCTCGTTGCTAGGAGATGCATGACAAATGTAAACAAGGTGTTCTAAAATCGACTCAAAATATCAAAACATGTTTTGATATCTTCTGACTGGATGGAATCATAGTCGATTAAAAATTGTGGAAAAAAATCAGTCTGTTTTTCTGTCTTCCTTCATTTTTAGTGGAATCTGTTAACTCAAATCTGAAGACAGGCTCTGACTTTCGGCAACTAACGTCGACTTGTCCGGACTGTTAATCAGGCAAAAGTCGTGTAGTGTGTTGCTGCATTAAAGGAACTCTTTACCTTGCTGTGAAAGGTCCTCCATCTCAGAGTCTGCATTGTGAAAGGTCTGAGACTGCTTCTGCTTCTTTAAATTCTCGATCAGCAAGGACGGACGTTCAACCTGGATAGATCCACAAGGTGTTGCATAAAAAAATAAAAAAAACTACACAAGGACATATGCTGCATGCTCAAATGTACTCATATATGGGATATGTGCTTGCTCACTATTAAAACTTCTACCAAAGTATGTGGATACAAGTTAGAACTGTGGTATACATTGTCCACTAGAGGGAAGTGTGCCTCTCAATAATCAATAATAACAATGACTTAAAATTGATTTAATATTTTAAAGATTTGTTTCTATATATTCTGTATTTTTGAAGAATCTTTTGTATGCATACTGGTTTAATATGGCATGAGTGTGAGTAAATGACAAAATCGGCTCCAACACTTGGAGTTGAGTGAAAATGACTAACAAGCGGGTCGACTTAAGTTGGCAGCTGATATACATGGAAGCATGAAAGCTATGTTTAAAATGTACCTAAAAATGTTACTATTGTAACACTTAACTGCAGTAATGATAATATTTAGGCTTTTGCTACTTCAGCAGCTTTAGTTAGTTTCTATGAGAGACAAGTTAGTTTTACAAGTGGCATCTGTCTAAACATAATACAAGCAATCATCTGGTTTTATATATAGTTAAAACACTATTGTTTACTAAGTTTTGTTTACTAAACTAAGATACATTATTATGAAGCAAACCAAAACAAGTACAGAAAACGTAAACATGCAGACAAGAAGGACTGAAATAAGCAGCACTCACGGGAAAAGGCTCAGCTCCCTCCTGAATCACGAATCCCTCGATGACATGCGTGAGGATCTGGGGCTTTACTGCCGCCTGTGGCGGCGGTTTACTCTCGCCATTTTGCGGAGCGCTGCCAGTCACCGTGGGCGCATTGTTCCCGCTGCCCGAGGTCATGGCTAGAGGTGAACCCACACCTGCCTTCACATTCACTCTGCCTGCTGAATATGAGCACAAGAGTATCCATCAGGAACACTATAATACTGATAACAAATCCTAGATGTTTTGTTATCAGTAATCAGTAGGATTTGTTAACACTATAATACTGATAACAAATCCTAGATGTTTCGCGAATCGGTTCTTTAGAACAGCTCATTCCAAAGATCCGATTCAGTGATCTTTTTACGTCATCGCGTGCACACTGAGATTCTAACTGTTTTAAAAGCCATCTAGATACACTGTTGTTTAGTTTGCTACGTTCTTTGCATTTTAATAACATTGGTGTTTATAGTAATTTCATAAACACAGGTCGTTTATTAAACTATGGTAAAATGAATTTCCATTTCTTGGATGAATAAGAAATGCTATTTATTAAAACTCAGTTTCGTACGTGTTGATAAAACTATCATACCGCGTAATAAACCTATTTACAGTATCCTTTATCTGTAGCATTTCTGATATTCGTTGTTGATTATTGGAGAATCGTTTATAACGGTTTTATGAACCGGTGCTCTGACGATTCATGGAAAAGACCAGACAAAAAATAATAATAATAATCACGATTCATTCATGATATTCCATAACACTCTCATAGGTCTCCTAGTGTTGTCATAAAACGCATGAAAGATTAGAGATCAGGCACTGCATCATTATACATGTTAAATGTATAAACTACTCTCGCATTATTTGCTCACATGTAGTTGTGTTATACTGGACTGGACTATATATGCATGTGAATAAAACACAGTCACACCTGCAGCCACTTGCTTATTTCTAACTGACCAGTAATGTCTGGTTAAAGCAAACAACAAAACTGATTTATGAAAAGATATGCGTCTATTACTAAGATGTGAAAAATGTTCAGGTAAAAGTCAGAAGTTTTTTATTACTACCCGTTTTTGCCAAATTTACGCATGTACTGTAGCAGCATTACTCCCATGCTTCTTCGAAATGGCTCAAAACACTCGCATACAAACAACACTCCGGCACCTAGAAGAACCAATAGGTCGCACCCCACCGTCCCAGAACAAGTAGCGAGCAACTTTGTAACTTTATATCCCGAACATTTGGCAGGGTTTCACACTGCAGACAAACGCGCACGCACAGGCGTCCTGGTGATTGTCAACAGCACACGCCTTTGTTCCGCTCACGCACTCTTTACTTACACTTTCAAGCGCCAAAAGAGGAAAACACTAAAGTGAACTTATCATTCCAACGCTTCCGAGTACACTTCCATAATCCACTGGTGTTATATACAAAGCAGTACGACAAATTAACCGATCCAAACTTTTTTTGTGTGCGTGGATTTGTTTGTTCTAACCGATTCCCTCAATGTGAGCAACGGGGCCGCACTCTCTAATCCCCTTTGTATGGAGGAACTGAATAGGAAACATTGCGCCGCTCCGATTGGTCCCACACGCTTGGAATTATGTCCAATAGCAGGTCATATTTAGCACAGAGGCCTTCCGTGATTGGTTAAAACTCGTGAGCGGCTCCATGACAGGCGCACGTAAGCAGAGAAAGAGCATCTACTAACTAGGCTACTCCATGTCTATCTTTGGAATTGCATACTACTATTTTTACAGCATGGAATGCCACATTGCAGTACGCTGGACTTTACGGTCTCATTTCTAATGTGATGAATGAACAAGAAGCAATATCTCGAATTATTAAAATTATTAATTATTAAAAATCTCTTTCATTGAATTTTTACTTGATTGGACTGTCAAAAGTTTTGACATGTTTACATAAATGAAATTGGTCAAAGCCTGAAAAAAAAACCCCATTTATTTCTAAGATAACTCGTTAAATATGATGTAATTCGACAAAGTGTACCATACTACTGTTTCTTATAGTAGGCAATATGCATAGGCTATATACAGTGAAGACAAGCCAACTTTATTCTATAGCGCTTTATACAATACAATTGTTTCAACCAGCTTCACAGTAATAAACCGGAAAGTAACAATCAATGATGTAAGCTTCATCAAATATAAGACAAATTAAAGTGATACTAGTAACCCAATGATTTAACCAGGTCTAGATCAAATTTTGCATTCAAAATTTGTTTAATCAGACAGGGTCCTAAACTTATACCAATTCTTTGTACCCTCAAAATAATTGTACAATAATAACATTGACCAAAAAGAATGCGACGTTGTATTTAAAGGACTAAGTCTGCATGAATTAAAATTAAAATGACTTTATTTACTTTGTTAGCGGACATTACTGGTCTTGTGGTGAACAGTTAATCCATGCAAGCCAATCCACAGGGGGAAAAAATGTGTTGGTCTTCATAATGTTTAGTCAAAGTCTGCTTCCACTCTGAAATAGCATTTGTTCTCTGATGACTTCAGTCTGCTGCAAGCTAGAGATTGTGAAGAGGTACACTAAAATCAAGCCTCGTCCTCTATTTCCTTCAGATTTCAGAATATTTCAGATTTAATATTTGACACAATACTGAAGTAAAGTCGGTCAAAACTTCTAGTTCATGTGGACTTAAAAGTGTTAAAGTGTAATTCTCTTTAAAGTCCACCTGAACTGGAAGTTTCGACCAAATTATGAATGCAAAAAGAAAACATGAATTACTCATTAGAAAATAAAACATATTGCAAATAAAGCTGTCTCTAAAACTAATTGATCTACACTATTATTTATCTCCAATACAACTGGGAAAAACAATTTTTAGCTCTTTTTTAAAGCTCTACCCTGCATTAACTGCAAGATTATCTCGTATTGAGAGCAGACACAAACGTTTCGATAAGAGGGTCTTGGGTTCCTCAGGGACAAAGGGAGACTCAGGGTAACACAGGGGGCATGTATAGTGAGTCTATTCCTCGTAAGATATACAACACCACTCATGTCCCACACTCAGCAGCTGGGAGTCGAAACACAATGGAGTATAAGTATCGTAAGCTAAACCTAAGCTTGTCTCGCACTGCAGTGTCAACGTCTGAAGCAATTACATCTATTGCAAGCTATTGAAACATAATAATTAATCAGGCATAACCACAGTGATTTTGTTGTTTGCTTTAAAAAGATGAGTTACTTTGATCTGAACTTGAACTTCTGTGAGACTCACCTATATGTGAACATGAAAATAGCCAATTAAAGTGTATGCTTTTTAATCTCACTCATAAAAAAACACTAAATTTGTTTCATCTAAAACAAAATACGCTTTAAAACTTTTATGAATGCACCATGATCACACAAAATTATCAGCATGATACAATAAAATATGACATGATTTATGATTCAAGTCCTCTGATGCCTCAAGCCATTTACGCTCATAAAAGAGCAGTTTATCATCGTTCATAATTTAACGTCTGAGAGGTTAGGCCTCCGACACACCTGCCAGACAGCCAGAGTGTGTCCACCTTTATTCCCACGTCCCACCAAGAACAGCGGAGCTCAGACCCTCGCCCCTAATTATAGCAGAAGCTGCCTGTCACACTCTCGCAAGTGCTTCGACTGGACAATAGACACTGGGGGTGTGACAGATCTACTCTTCCGCTTGAGGGGAGAGCTCGCGTAGTTGGCCTTTGTGTTTTTGTGACTGGCAAACCTACAGATGGTGGTGACGTAGTAGCCACTCTGCATCTGGCTAGACCAAGATTGCTGCAGGAGTCTTTCCTCTAACTTTTGCAACCAGTATAGCTAGATGTGACCAAAATAGTTTCATATTCCATGTCTTTTTTCAATATTTTTGTTTAATCATATTGTGTTTGACAGAGTGATATATTTGTGATATGTAAATCTTTAATAAATAAAGTGTGTAAGGTGACAATATTTAATGGTTGATGTGACATTCTCGTTTCAGTTTCAGAGAAACACTCAGTATGATAAATCAGCTACACTATAGTGCATAATAAATAACTACATAATATCTGCATCTATTTAATTGTTTTGTTAATCATGCTTTTAACAACAACTGTTGGTTGTTTTTGAATTTTCACTTGTCTTATATTTGTCTTATTTTCTATTTCCATATATATATATATATATAAGACATAGACCCCCCCCCCCCCCCCCTTGATTTTCAACTACAGAAGCTGTTTTTATTGCAGCTTTGTTGCATTAAATATTATATATATATTCAAGTTACTGATTATGGTCAGACTATTAGGATAAAATCAGAGGGAGCCATATATATATTTGATTAAATCAAAACACAAACAATGCATGGAGATATTGCTAAATTGAAAAAAAAAAAAAACATTTTGCAACCTTTACCCTTTTTGAACCAACAAAATAAATAAATGAAAGTCATGAAAATGAAACAAATAATACATGAATCAGTACCTTCTATGTTTTCTGTCACTTGACTTTGATGAGATTGTTTGACTGAATGGGATTGTTCTGTCCGGGTTGGCACTTGTGTTGTTATGGATAGCCGCTGCGGTTCGAGAGGATCAGGGTCGTCCTTATCTGACACATCCAGTGTGGCTACTTCCAGCTGGAATTAAAGTCAAACAGGACAAGGTCAGAATAGGAGGGAATAAGTGAAACTAATACAATTAGGATACATTGAAATAAAGACACACAAAAAAAACATGATGTTCAATTCACTTACTTGAGTTTGAACTGGCTGGATCTGGACATTAACTGCAGTAAGCTGTAGAGGTGCTGCTTTGCTGTGGCTCAGCATGGGCGGCTGTCCATTCTGGGCAAGTGCCTCCTGACTCACAGTAGTGGAATGGAAGATGGTGGCTTGTTGGCAGGTAACAGGCACTTTGGGCAGCAAAGGGATAGGGCACTGTTGAGGCTGAGCTGGCAGGGCAGGCTGAATGGCCACAGCTTGCACTGTGTGAGGATGAATGGTGGCAGCTTCTAAGAGCTGAGCTTGACCTCTCTGCAGTATCTGAGGCTGCTGCTGTATCACAAACTGATGCTTGTGCTGCTGGAGCAGCTGATGGGTCTGAATTTGGGTATATGCTGGAATAAATATAACAAAAGACAATATATTTAATGGTTGATGTGACACTCATTTCACAGTATGATAAATCAGCTACACTATAGAGTAGTGGTTCTCAACGGGGGCGGTACCGCCCCCCAGGGGGCGTTCAGAGAACAACGGGGGGCGTTAGACGCAAGAGTCTTGAAAGGGGGGCGTTCAGGTGTTAGGGTTAGCGAGTAACGGAAATTTGTGTTCATTTACTGTGATTCATTTTAAGCATTTAGTAATTTATTTGTAATAAACACTTTAAGTGGGCTATTAAAAAAGTGTTAGGACCATATATGTTAAATTATGTTGTAAAACATATGCGTAGATTGTGATGTCATATTGTGTGTGCGCGCACGCCTATGGTGCGCGTGAAAGAAAACGTCAGCAGCGCTCAAATAAAAAAAAGAAAATCATTCGTCCGCGGCCGTTCTAGCCTACTCCTGACCGCAAGTCCACCGTCAGTATACTAGCAGGTTTTTTGTGTTCATTTCTATTGCATTACGATTGAAAGCAGTATCAATAATGTCAAAAATATAATGTGCAGTCAAGTTCGGGTGTGAATGCTGTTTAAATGAGTGTTCTCACCGACACGCTTGTTGTGATTCTTCTTCCAGTTTAATGTACATGTAGCCTAAGCTATGTATCGTTACTTTTGCAACGACTATATTATTTTTCCAGTTATAGACCAGCGCTCTGACTAGAATCCAGCGCTGGCTAGAATCTGCATTCACGCGCTCAAACATGTGTTTCGCGCTGACAACAATCCAGCGCTGGCTAGAGTCACGCAGCGGAGGAATGGAAAGTTGACATGCCATTAAAAAGTATTGACTTAAGTATTGAAACACTTCTATTTTTTCAAATATTTTCAATAAATCATGTTCCCATTTACTCCGGCGACGAATTTCAAAATTAAACTAAATTCTATTTATAAGGTAAAACTTAAAATTTTTTAGGCATTAACTAATTCCAATGCCTAATGCCAAAATGTTTTCTTTGTTCACCAAGTAATTTACTGGTCAGGCATTATTGTTAACTCAATTTGAAAATGACAATTTGATGGATAATTTTTATATTATATTAATATTTAAATATATTCTGCAATCACATTTTGGTAATGTAGGCTATTCATTCCGCCATCACATCTGAGAGCGAAACGCTGCTTGGGTAACGTTAGTTTCAAGATATAAAAACAATTAATAATACAATAATAATTGAATTGTTCGTGTGTTTATTCTTGTTAGAAGATTTTTCTTTTTACTGATTATGAAAACAAATTAATCACGACAAACCAAATTAATTGTAATTGTATTAATTATACCTGATACCAAGGTATTTTAGGCCTACAATTTTAACATAATTTTTCATGAAAAATCATGATTGTATATTTATTTTTAAGTAAGGTTAATGTAAGCAGCTTCTTGCAATACTCTCCTAAATGCTAATAAAACCTACGTGCAAACATTACCGCTTTAATGACTGTCCTTTATTTTTCAGTGCATTTGTTTTATAATATATGGCTATTTATGTCATGGGATTAATATAATATAACTATTATTATGTAGTAGTGTAATGTAGACAAACACAACTAAAAGAGGTTTGAATTTTTCTTTGTTTAATTTGCACACTGAATATGGGTTGGAGCTTTTAATTTTGAACTCTCAAAGTGCACCAGATTGATGCATTTAACATTAAAATGCACACATTTTTCTTACGGGGGGCTTGCCCCCCGAACCCCCCTAGAAGGCCCGAGGTTCACCCACCACAGATTTACCAAATATCCTGTGAGAAACACTGCTATTGCTATTCAATGCAGTTTATAGCTTGTTTTTTGGATTAATCGCTGTGGAGTATAGTTCGATTGTATTAATAAATGACAATTTTGTACTTATTTCATCTGTTACTCGTTCCTGCTCGCTCATTAGTTTGGGGGTGGGGGGCGGTCGGGGACCTGGATATTGGATAGGGGGCGCTGGCCCAAAAAAGGTTGAGAACCACTGAGTTAGACATACTCTGACAGGCTCTGCTGTGTAACACTAAGGAATACCAGCCTAATTTGTGCAGGACCTTTAAATGCGATGCGAGTCATTTTAAAATGTTCATACTTTCTGTTCTAACAGGCTGAACTATGAAGGACCAGTTTTACTTGGACTTAAGCTATTCACACTATATTACATGATAACGTGTTACGGAGTACTGTTGAGATTGATGAGCATTATTACTCAAGAAAATGTCATTCTCATGCCATGTTTTCTCTCAGAAAAGAGACAACTTGTGATCAAGACAAGCGATCAAACGCCATGGTCTTGATATCAAATTCCTCCAAGCAAACAGAGAGTCTGTTCAGAGGTTGTGGGAGTGTGTTTTTTATCATTTATGTGGTGTTCTGTTCTGCCATGTTTTCTCTCAGAAAAGAAACAACTTGTGATCAAGACAAGCGATCAAACGCCATGGTCTTGATATCAAATTCCTCCAAGCAAACAGAGAGCCTGTTCAGAGGTTGTGGGAGTGTGTTTTTTATCATTTATGTGGTGTTCTGTGTTCAAAATGAACACAGTATGAGATAGTGTGCCATATTTACACACCCTCCCCCAACAGCCTGCTAAGTTCAAAGCATTTATAGAATAGCAACAACAGATGCAGGGCTTTCTTTGAGCATTGAAGACCACATTCTGGTTCAAGTTCCACCTGTGTTGATAAATAATTAACTGCTGCCCTTTGTCAGCACAGTTCAATATGACAAAAAAGAAAAGAAAAAGAAAACGTCTGCAAAACTTCCTGGCCTTTGAGGGATAAATGCTGAAGGATAGCATTTACCCAGCTTCAATAATGAGTGCTACTTCAAACACCGGTAAAAACAAAAATAATTCCATTTACGTTTTTCTTGACATACAGTATCGAAATGATGATCGAAATGACCAAATTCACATAGTATTTTCCTTAACTTCACTAATGTATACAGAAATAAGAGGTATGTAGGGACACAGAACACGCTTTTGAGATAAACACAAACACCATAAAGTCCAGGCCTGATCCTCTCTCGTCCTTCACTGTCATCACTCCTCCTTTTATCCTTAAGGAGCTCCTCCATGGGAATCGCTCCGTTCCCATGCCTATCGGGCTCACCCGGCTGGCCACAGTCTTTTTCACACAGAACTTTACCACTGCTCTGCTTTTTAATAGTTTTTATGTAAATATACGCTAGACTAGCATCTTTATTGTTTTAAGTGTCTCTGATGTGCTCCACAGAACACAAGAAGACGTTCTGTGTGAACTTAAACTAAAAACGTAAAAGTTTGTATGCATTTTGGCCATTCTTTTAAACGACAACAGCGTTCTCTTTCATAGGTTCACTCAACGCTGCGGAAAGCGCAGTGGGATATCCTCTGGATGTGCCGATTGTCTGAAGCCCTATAGAATCACGCCAATCCATTGGCTGATGGCGCTCGCGCAAAGCTGGCTCCGCCCCGACGCTCTTACGTCGTAGCATGATGTACGCGCGCGCGCCATCTTCTCCTCAGATTTCTCTGCCTTCACGAAGCGGTCACATCTCGCCCTTCGTGCGGTTTTTCTGAGCCCGAATTCTCAATTCAACTTCAGCTTTCGTCTCGACACTTCAGCGACTGGTATAAGTGGAACTCTGTTCTCCTTACAGTGAAGTGTCATGGATTATCGACGCTGCTCTCCGCCATGCGTTCGTTTCATCTCGAACGACGACCCTCACAGTAAGTGTGTTAAATGTATGGGTTTTTCGCATGCGCGTGAGGCTGTATTAGGATTGTCGAAATGTAAATTTTGTGACAATCTCCTTCTCAAAACCCTCCGCTCTAGACTCGCGGTTTTTGAGAAGGAGACATTCGTTTCCCCCCGTCGCGCTCCCGAGACTGCTGAGGCCTCTCGTGGATCCGCGGCCTGGGGTTCGGATGTTGAGCTCGAGGATATTGAGTATGAGCAGACGGGCCTCGCCCTTTCTCTCCCTCCCTCTCCCGAGCACGCACGCGGCGCGGTTGAATTCGCGCATGATTATTTATGTCCCAGCCCGGGAGCCCGCGAATCGGTTTCTTTCGGTCTGGATGACGTTATTTACACTGCAGCCTCCGACTCCGAGGATTTCGGGCCTGCTCTGGCTGATGACGTTATCCCGCCTAGCGGCCAGGACGCGCGGCCTACTCCGGCCTACACTGAGCTTATTGAGGTGCTGTCGCGCGCTACAGAGAAGCTCTCTATTGACTGGCCTGATGAGCCCCGCGAGTCTCAATCGTCCAAACTCGACGAGAGGTTCCTACGTGGCCCTAATTCTAGGCCAGAGCGAAGAAAGCTGCCCTTTTTCAGCGATCTGCATCACGAGATCTCCAGATCCTGGAAGCAGCCATTCTCCGCACGCCTAACTAATGCGGCAGCCGCTGACTTCACCAACCTTGTTGGTTTTGTGGAGCAGGGTTATTCCGCTATTCCAGCGGTCGAGGACACGCTGGCTAACCACCTCGCCCCGTCGTCTGCACCGTCTTGGAAGGCGCGTCCCCTTCTTCCTTCCAAGGCTTGTAGGACTACTTCCTCCCTTATTGGGAAGTCTTACATGGCGGCTGGTCAGGCAGGCATGGCCCTGCATACCATGGCCATCCTTCAAGCCTACCAAGCGGACGTCTTGAAGGACATGGATGAAGGAGAGGGACTGACGCCCGAAGCTGTCAAAGAGCTTCGCAAAGCCACAGATCTGGCCCTAAGAGCCACCAAGCACACTGCTCGGGCTGTAGGTCGCTCTATGGCGGGCTCGGTTGCTGCAGAGCGCCACCTCTGGTTGAATCTCACGGAGATCCGAGACAAGGATAAGAGTTTCCTCCTGGATGCCCCTATCTCCCACTCAGGTCTTTTCGGGGAGGCGGTCAACACGGTGGTTGACAAATTCCGCGCCGCTAAGTCTCAGTCGGCCGCGTTCAGGCAGTTTATGCCCAGGAGGGTCAGAGGGCCCAGTGACTCCAACCCTCCCCCTTCT